ATTATAAGTCATGGTGGGATTTTTGCAGCAAAGAAAAGAAGAAAAAAAAAAAGGAAAAGTCTACTTGACTAGTGAAGTTTTAATTGTTACAAACTTTTAGAGATGCAATAATTTATCTGACAGCGGAATTTGTGACTAATACTCGCACTGACTGCGCAGTGAAGCAGCACAAATACATATAAACTATGGAATGAGATGAATAATTACCTCCTTCTTCTATCAAATCATCAAACCCCATGGGTCTGTCTGTGATCTGAGGGCAGAGTGACTGCAGCTCCAAGAAAACAAAGAGCTTCCCTCTCTCCCACTGACACTGTGACTCCGACGCTGATGGCAATGCTGCCGGGACGTGTGTTTGTCGGCGTGCATATCTTTACGTCTTTGTGTGCGTGTGTGTGCTGTTGCTCAGCGCCTGGCAGCTGCAGCCTAGTGATGCATGGTGAATAATAGGTCAGTGCTAATCTCATTAGGGCTAATCAGATGTATATGATATGTATAAACAGTGGAGTTCCACTGTACACAAGCAGCCACAGTACATGTCCATCACCAGCCGGGCGCTTGTGTGTGTGTGTGTGTGTGTGTTTTGTTAAGAGGGATGCCGGGGAAAAAGGACAGCTGATTGGGAAGAGGCGAGGGGGAGAAAGAGAGACGTCGTTTTCATGGGTGCTACATTATCAGAGGAATTATGGAATTATGCACAGGTGGAGAGCCGCCGTGAATACTGATGCAGGGAAAAAATGAATATATTTGTATAAACACACACACATATACACAGCGCCAGCTCTGTGGAGTACAGTTCACCTGTTCTAAATGAGGAAACTGCATGCAACTTCGACAAATGAGGCATGCCTCTGGGAAGCTGGCAAGTTGAGGTTTGTCACTGTGCCTGAGTTTTTATGGGTGTGTGTGTGTGTGTGTGCGGCGTGTGTGTGGCGTGTGTGCAAGCATCTTGGTAATTGGTTCCTGCGAGTGTGTTCATATTTGTATGGTCCTCACGTGCCACGAGTATGAGAGAGGGACATGCAAGGATGATCTAAGACATCAAGGGTTGGAAAGCAAGATGTAAGGTGTGGGGAAAAATGCAAGTCGATAAATGAGAGAAAATGGTTTGTGAACTGGTGCATCTGCTGGCGAAAAAAAGAGGGCTGTGTGATTTCAGATGGTTATGTGGGTGTCTGAGTAAGAGAGAGGGAAGTGAGAAGGACAAGGAAACAAAGGTTTTGGGCATCGTCTTTGAAACCCTTTCCCCTCTTTGTGTGAGTGTCCCAAGGGTTCAAGATTGGTTCCACTTAAAGCACTTAAAACACCCCACAGGACCCGTGCTTGGCTCCGTAATAAATATCAAGATCGCTCTTGGATTGTTTTTAAATTGAATGCAATCTGCCAGAGCTGTGAGCCATCATTTCATATTTTTTCCCCCTTGATCTCTCCTTCTGCTTGATGCCAGCCTCTTTTTGTTTCCATCATAAAGGGATTTTCAGGAATTGTTCTGCTCCAAAGTAGGAAAAGGATCTTTGCCTTATAAATCATTTGAGCCAGACAATATTTGATGTATCACAGCCATCAAAAGTTAAAGGATGGGGGAAATATTTCTAGGAATGGTTGTTAAGTCAGAAGAGAAGCTAATAGAATGACATAAATCATTCAAACAAAGAGGCTGATGAAGGAATCGGTGGATTATTTTGGCTTCGGGGCTGCAAACACAGCAGCGTGTGGAACCGTGTTTATACTGTAAAACGTCCAATATCCTGTTCTCAAATAAAATAATGGCATCTTGTAGCCAAATCGATCTTTATGTGAACATAAACAAACTCCCGTCTCTAATATTGCCCAGATTGGAGGGGGGGAAAAAAAGCTTTTTACACTGCTGCTGATGAAGCATGTTACTGAGATTGATGGTAAAGGGCTTTTTCAAAGGCTTCATTCTGAAACAGGATGCTGCATAAACATGACTCATCTTGATGTAGTCGCTGTCACTTCCATCACTACCCTGAGCTACTTAATCTTCTTCTTCTTTTTTTCTTTTTTGCTATGGGGAGTTCATTCTGCACGGAAATCCAACAAGAAAGCGTCTATTTCAGCAATTAATATAATGTGACATTTAACATTAAAGCAGCCATTACTGATATTTTAGCACAACAATGCATCGAATGACGGCGTGAAAGCAGAATGTCAGTGTAAACGTGCTAATGAGCCAGCAGAGGATAAGCACCTGAATGTGCAGCTTCCCTCTGCTGCAAAGGGCTTCAGCTGGAATTCAGTGTTCGGCTGTTACACCGTAAAAAAAAAAAAAAGTGTAACTGAGCTGTACTCCTTCAAATAAATCTCTCCTTTCTTTCTCTTTTGGTGATGAACATTTTACTTTTGTGGGTTCTATCACCTTGAAATTACACTTCATCCATTTAAACTGTGCAAAAATGAGGTTTGCTGCTCCTTTGCTGTGACGTCTGCTTTAAGATGACGGATTAAATAAAGGGAAACAACGGTGCATCTATGACTAAATCATGTTTTGAGTAAAGCTAAATACTTCAGTTGGACAAACTGGAAACTGCATGTCATAAAAAATAAAAAAGGTTACGGCAAAAGAATCTGTTTGTTTAAAAGGAATCACATAATTTAAGTACATCTAACTTAAATCAGTGGCATTAATATAACTAGTTGACTTAATTTGGATAAACTCACCTCCAGCTGACATCGCTGTGTTTTGTTGTAAAGCCCAGTTGAAAGAGTACCAGAACGCTGTTTATGATCCAGTAGGTTAGCAAAAAAACAAAACCGTTCTTCGTTTCTCAAAGTTCAAGGTACAAGTTCATCTGTTAAGCTTTTTTATTTTATTTTATTTTTTTAAATGAATTCTAAGCCTCCCGCCACACATTCAGGTTTCGCTTAAACAATCAAGCTGGATTTTTTTATACTCGGGCATTATTCATCAAGAAAAGTGAAGTGAAAACAAACTTTTCAGCAGAACTTTCAGCCTCCATCTGATTTCAGCAAACAAGTTGTCAAGTTGTTATTCCCACAAGTTCTTCACAGAATATATTTACGGCCATAATGATTTCCTGAAAAATGCAGTGCATCCTGTAGTTTGACCCAGATGAATAAAAGAGTTTGTAGATGGAAGAATCAGAATGTGATATTGATTTATTTTGAAAGAAAAAAAAGGGAAATTTTGCTGGAGGAAAGCTAAAAGGTCACCAGAAGAACCGAAATGAAGAGGTAGTTATGAAGAGCATGAAAAAGAAATAGTTGAAGCTGCGAGTTTATTTGAATTGCATGAATTTCGACAATGTCGTGGTCGAAATGAAACGAATCAAATAATTATTTGTGCTCGTTGGATAAAGGAATCCAGAGTGTATCATGTACTATTGAAATGGAATACAATGGACTAAAAGCCAATGTGAATATTACGTCCATAACCTAATTTAGATTGAGCTATTATTTTAAAATGCATTGTGAAAACAATATATTCCGGCAGCCTATCTTTTAATGTAGTTGGTAACACATTAATTGAATGATCAGACTTGATAAACTTTCCCTTCAGTGGAGCAAATAGTGTAAGCTCTATAAGCTCATCCGCTCTTTTCAACAAATAGATTAGCGGAATGACGGACTCTTTTCCTAATCAGTATTTTTCCGAACGCCATGCACACACACACACACACACACACACACACACACACACACACACATTTACACATTCACTGCTGGCTCTGGGAGAGCAGATATGGCCCTGGCTGTTCCCTTTCCCAGGGAAGCAGAGGGGATGAAAGAGTGCAGTGATGGGTCTCTCATTCTCTGATCTGCTTCTGCCTTTGACATCAGCAGTCACCAAAACCTAAAGCACAGGAGAACTGGGGGACAAGAAAAAAATAAAAAAATAAAAACCCTGACAGTCTGCCCACCCCAGCAGCCACACATAGACTCAATCCCCTCCTTTTCTTTCTTTAATTTCCTCTTCCCTCACTGTTATTTCTTTAATTGGCCTGTCACCATTAATAAGGCTTGAACAAACTGTACATTGAGCGTGCTCTTGCCCCCTCCCGGACCCTTTATACGTTCCTCTTCTCCCACATGGAGAAAATTGATGCTTCACTGCACCTATAGAGAGAACATAAGGAACTGATAGGAGCTGAGCAGCAGCTCGGCAGCCTCCTGCTGTGTCCCTAGCTGTACCGAAGCCCGACTCATTCTCCCCGGCAGCCAAGACGTCCTATAGAGGCCGATACTCTGTGGTCTCAAAGTCATTTTTCATACTCCCTCGCAGGTTGGTCATCCAGGACTTGTCAAATACGATCACCGCAGTGTGTTTCAGCCTATGCGGGACCATGAAAAGAGGATCTGAGCTGAGCCGTAATGTGTTGACCTGGGTAAATGTGGAGTGTCTCTAACTGTGTGGACAGACGGCATGAAAGGAATTCATGTGTGCCAACTGGAGCAGTAAAGATAAATCTCAGCATGCCAGAGTGAGAAATTTCAGCTTGAGCGTCCCTTTGATGACTTATTTCTGGGGCTGTATGGGTGGCTATCATAGGTGTTTTTTCCAGTGCAATTCAGCGTGCAGCCCGGCCGCGCTCTGTGTTTAGCATGTAACACTGAGTGTGCCAGTCAGAGCCGTCCTGTCTGCACTGGTGCCTGTTTTGCGTCGCTCCTCTCTGGGGAACGGGCACACCCATCAGGAACCATTAGTCTTCACCCTGACAGGCCAGCCTTCCACTGAGAGACTCTCTCTGGCAGAGCTTTCTGATTGCCTCAGACAGTGGTCGGGTATTTTTACTAACAGGCTGAGACACTGTGCCATTTGTGCGGGGCATTTACTGCTGGCAATACTCCTAATGCAAGCTCTCTTATCCTGACTAAAGGGCGAAGCGAGTCGCCTAAGAATTCGCTCCGTTTCCTGTGTTGTTCTGCAGGTGAACAAATGAAGGGATGAAAGGTCACGTGAACGTCCGTATCAGCGCTTCTCTCTGCGCTGCCTAATGACATTACCTTCCTGTTTGCAGACGGATGCGGCGCTGATGTATGACGCCGTGCATGTGGTGGCAGTGGCAGTGCAGCAGTCGCAGCAGATCACCGTCAGCTCTCTGCAGTGCAACCGCCACAAGCCGTGGCGCTTTGGAGGACGTTTCATCAACCTTATCAAAGAGGTACAAGGCTATCGCTGCTCCCGGCGCACACCCCGTCTTGACCTCTGACCTGCAGAATCTGCCGCAGCTCCGTCATTGTGTTCCATGGATCAGTGCAGTCGTGTGTTTGCAGGCATCTCATCGGCGTTTGGTTCTCCCAGCAGCCATTTTCTACATCATTGTCTCTTGCAGAAAACTGTAATCACCATGATTAAACCCATATATCTTAGTATTCTCAATAATGGAAGCAGAATAAGCACAGAATTACCCACAGTAACTACATGTTTTTTGTGATGTTTCATCCTTTTTTTCCCCACACTTTTCCGTGCATATCTCCACCCGTGTTTATATCAAAGCCTCTGTGTGTCTCCTTAACTCTCTAGTCAGGGTCAGCCATTTGCTTTGTTCTACAAAGCTCTTTCATTCTGTGGATGGTATCATTGCAGGTAATTTTCAGAATGAGCCATTGTAGTAGCTGGTGCTTCCTCCCCCTCCTGTGTCTGCTATCGCTCTCCATGCCCGTCTGTTCCTCCAATGGCTTTGAAGTGAAACTTCAAGCACAATGAACCACATGCATAATGAACTCTTACCTGTCAAACCTGCTTCTACCCGCGCTGCTTTATTGTTTCTTGTTATGTTGTTGAGATAGACAGTCAAGGGAGAGCCAGGCGGAATTCATAATTGGGGGAAAGAAAAAAAAAAAGTTTATGGTTGGAGGTTGGATTGATATAGTTGAGAAAGACGTTTGTCTTAAGGTTAATGGAACGACTGTGCAGAGAGCTGAAGACTTTGTGCGCTGTGTTATTTCTGTCTTTAGGCTCACTGGGATGGTTTGACAGGACGTGTTCTCTTTAACAAGACCAACGGACTGAGGACAGATTTTGACCTAGATGTCATCAGTCTGAAGGAGGAGGGACTGGAAAAGGTGTGTCACCCACCGGCGCTGCTGATGCAGTGTGGAGCTAAAAAGCAAAGTGTTTGTCTGGATGCTGTGAAGCATTTTATTTCCTATCTGTAGACAAGGCAAGGCGCTATAAACACAACACTGAATTGTTTCAACAGATTGGAACATGGGATCCTCCCAGTGGTCTGAATATGACAGAGACTCACAAAAGCAAGACATCCAACATCACCGACTCTCTGGCTAACAAATCCCTGCGTGTATCCACCATTCTGGTAGACACAGCCGAACGGAAACACAAGCAGCACACACTCACCAGTCAACAAATACACATGAAGAAACACACAGAGCTGCACCACCTCTACACCCACTTGTTTTTCCCTGTGCAGGAGGAGCCGTATGTGATGTTTAAGAAGTCGGACAAGCCTCTGTATGGTAACGACCGCTTTGAGGGCTACTGCATCGACCTGCTGAGGGAGCTCTCTGGCATCCTGGGTTTCCGCTACGAGGTGCGATTAGTGGAGGACGGGAGGTACGGAGCGCTGGATGAGAGCACGGGCCAGTGGAACGGCATGGTGCGCGAGCTCATGGACCACGTGAGTCAACAATCACCAGTGCAGCGAGACCACACAAACACATCCTGTACAACATAATGGGCCAAACATTTTTCCTCAGTTACGTTCATTTAGCTGCTCTTCACCACCAGACGGTAAATCTGAACACCCAAATGGGGCATTTTAAAATTTTTATTCTTGAGTCATTTGTGTTTAAAGGTGGTGTTAAATCCGACTGTACAGTGGGACTATTTTACCTCGTCTGTTAAAAAAAAAAAGAAGAAGAAGCCTAGAAGCTTGCCGCATTCCTTTATGTTTGAAGGCAGACCTCATCTGTACAATTCTATAAAGCTGATTCCAACTGGAAACAGAAATATTCTCACCGCACCGGCATGCCTCTAAAAAAAGATTACCATGATTTAAAGAGAGTCTTTGGAACCTTTAAAAGAGAAATAACACATTACTCTACGTATAAAATAAAATAAATCTATTGGACCAGTGCTTAATGGCAGCTAATAATAGCTCATATAGAAAGTTTTATGTAGATGTTCCCTCATTCACTCAGTCACTGACTTTGCTTTCTACTCGTTCTGCTGCTACAGTATGCTATACGCTGATCAGTCATAACATTAGAACCACCGGGGTAACATCGTGATGGTTCCCTTCATGCAACCAAAACAGCGAGGCCTGGACTCGACAATAGCTCTGAAGGAGTTCTGTGGTGTCAGGCATCAAGCCGTTAGCAGCAGATCCTTTAAGTCCTGTAATTTGTGAGGTGGGGCCACCGTGGATCCGACTTGTTTTTCCAGCACAGATGCGCAATTGGATTTAGATCTGGGGATTTGGAGGCCAAGTCAACACCTTGACCTCTTTGTCATGTTCTTCAAACCACTGAGCAATTTTTTTTTGCTTTCAGTGGTGGATTAAGGTCAGGGACTCTCACCAGTCTGCAGCGACACAGTCCCACATTCAGCAAGTTTCCACGCTCTGTGTCTTCTGACGCCTTTTCATCAGAGCCAGCATTAGGGATTTCAGCATCTGTGCCACGGTCGCTCTTCTGTGAGACGAACCAGCCAAAAAGCCTTTAGTGACTATGACTGTGTTGCTGGTTGTCCTTCCTTGGGCCACTGTTGGTAGGTACTAACCACTGCAAACTTGGAACACCCTACAAAACCTATCATGATGGTGTTGCTCTGACTTTGTCGTCTAGCCCTCGCAATTTGGCCCCACGTCAAAGTCGATCAGATCCGTACTCTCGCCTGTTTTTTCCTGCCTCCAACCCATTAACTTCAAGAACTGACTGTTCACTTGCTGCTTAATATATCCCAACCCTTGACAGGTGCTCTTGTAACGAGAAAATCACTTAAGACGTCATCGGTTATAACGTTGTGCCTGATCGATGTATATTGTTCCATAAGTGGATGCTGCTTGGCATACAGGTTTTCAGGGCTCAAACACAGAAGTGACTTTATAAGATGGAAATGTTTGCCGTTAAAAGCCTTGGGCAGGTAGAAAATAGTGTGTTTCACTTTTCTTCCATCACCACGGGTAGTTGGCTAATTAGCATGAGCAACAATAGCCACTAGACAAAGAAAGGAGAAGCACCTATAGAATCAGAAAAATCCTGAGCTGACGCTATAAGGAACGGAAGACGCTGGCGCTGCTACATGAAGTTATTTCTTCCAAGGATTATGCAAAATACTTGAGAGCAAGTGCTCAGCTGTACAGAAGGCTAATTTTATGTTCAGAGGGAACATGAGGTTAATTTGTCCCAGATTAATTTAATCCTGAAATTGTTGCCTCAGTGACTCACCTTTGACTCCGCATAAGAGGGATCAGACATGTAACCTGTAATTTCTGGAAGAACTCAGCCTCCCACCTGATAATCTAGCTGAAGTAATGACCACAGCGATTTTCCTCCTCGTGTCAGGTCTCTTCCTCCTGTACATATTGACCAGAGCAGCTGTGGACAGAAATCAGATGTTAATTGAATTGGGGGTTTTTTTTGGAAGGGGGGGTTATCAGTGGACTCAAACACTCGTCACCCCCCCTCACTCGATGCCGCCTCCCTTATCTCGTTGCAGAAAGCGGACCTCGCAGTCGCCCCTCTGGCTATCACCTACGTCAGAGAAAAGGTCATCGACTTTTCCAAGCCCTTTATGACGCTGGGGATAAGTATCCTGTACCGCAAGCCCAACGGCACCAACCCCGGGGTCTTCTCCTTCCTCAACCCCCTCTCGCCCGATATCTGGATGTATATTCTGCTGGCTTGCTTGGGTGTCAGTTGTGTGCTGTTTGTCATAGCCAGGTAACATGTCAAACCCCCCCTCCTTGTCCGTCTTCCCTACCTGCTTGCCTGCTTTCACTAACTTACAGCTTCGTCTTCGCCTGACAGAGGCAGTGCATGTCCTTCTACTCCTAACGATACGGTCTACGACAAAAGAGCATCGAACCTGCAGTAAACGTGCAACCGTGAAGGACCATACCTGTGTTTTTACATGTGTCCAAACAACTCCTGATTTTGGCTTTACTGTTAAAATTAAGAGAAGATAATAAAGGGGAGTGAAGGTTTTACTGTGACCTCATTATGGTGAAAACATGAGAAAACACTGGCATGGTCTTTAACATTAACTGGCAACACTTCAGGCGTTTTTGTCAGCAACTGTAAAACTAGCCGCAAGTTGTATCTCTCAATCAGCTGCAGGAGATGTACGAGCATACTGCTGACAATGGGCTTGTGCGGTTCTTAGAGTGACTCGATGAACCTTTCCCCCCTAAAACCCCCCAATGCATGACCAGTGTAGTGTGATGTGTGCTAAACCCCCGGGGCTCCCTTTGATCCTGAGAGGTTTGGGTTTAACGCACATCCCATCGGATGTTACCGGCAAAATGATCACGTGAGAGGAAAGCAGCAACTGTCACCTAAGTTAGTTCAGAATATGCAAATTATACCCAAAGCCCTTTGTTTCCACAGGCGGTCAGGGTAAGTGATTAGCATGCAATTATACTGATATGCTTCTGGTTTCAATTTTGAAAAGAACAAAACTGGAAAACGTGGTACTTTTGTTAAACGATAATGTCTGTGTGCATGCATTGTGCCTTTTTCTGCACACCGCGGCAATAAATAGTGCTCGTCATCGCGCTTATGTGATCAAAATATTCAGCAAAGTTAAATTTGAAGTACAGTGTTCTCCACAGTTCGCTGAGCTGGTTCTCTCATAATTGTTGTATTGATTGCACGGCCGCCAATTGATTGGTCAATCCCCCAAATGCGGAGTATATTATTTTCTTTAATCCCTTGCAAATAGAGCGAGTGGAGTGAGCTTATGAAGTCCCAGTTTTGCACAATAAAACACTAAACACCTCAATCTCACCAGGGATTCGCGTCTTTGAGCCGCTTCCCACGCACATACAAGCTTTTTTTTTTTTCTCCCCCGACTAAATAAGCGATCTCATTTCAAACTCAGGAGAAATACATTTCACTCGGTGCCTCCTTCCAGCTCGGTCTGCGGCTGAATTGTTCTCCCTCCTTATTAAGCCAAACAAATGGTATTCTCTCAGATCAAAAAACATTTTCTAGCGTAGAAAATGTCCACCTGCCAGGAAGAATGGATGATTAAATTGCATTATAGCGTGTTTACATGAATTACAGGCTGTTGCAGTCTTGTAGTCCAAGTTCCAAACGATGGCGATTTTAAGACTCCCCGACGCAGCCTCTTCACTTGGCCTGAGAGAAGAAAGGCAACAGATCTATAAAACCAGGCAGAGTAATTGAATCCAACAGACAGTTAAAGGAGACGAGCGTGTTTTGTGTTATTGTGTTCGGGGACGGGCGAAGGGGAAGAGGGACATGAGTGGGGGAGAGAGCGAGCGAGAGCGAGAGAGAGAGAGAGAGAGGGGGGAGAGTCCTTTTAGAATTCCGTGTGCAGTTCAACATGTCCCCCGTGCTCGGTGTGAGGAGGTGACCTTACGTCTGCATGTTCCACATCCCCTTCTTCGCGGTGATCGGTGTGCAAAACACGACCGGCAGGAATACAGGCCAGCTGCAGGCAAAGGTCATACAGAGGAGCCACCGGGCCTGGTGCATACAGAACACATGTCGACACCGAGAGGAACCAACACAATCCAATCAAGTGTGCATTGTCTAGATTTACACCCACCTCCTTACCTACCGCGTACATCTGATGTCACTCATAATCAGCCCAGCGGCTGCAGCTGCACATTATATGTAATGTCTGTGAACAACAACATAAATAAATCATCACAGAAAATGTTTGACTTTGAGACGGATTTGATTGAGCCAGTGCAAATACGCAGTTACTAACGCAGAGAAATACACACCCACACAGCTAGAAAGGCATATGCAGAAACATTCATTCGCCAGAGGCTTGATGCGCAAAGGGATAAATACGTACACACACACACACACACACACACACACACACAGGAGGGAACAGGCGCACACACACTGCCTTCTCCACAAGGCCATTGTGCCGTTTCAGTTGCCTCTGGATCCAAGGAGACAGAGCTCATTGACATTCCAGTAAATCAGGCATCCTGATGGTGTTGACAAGAAGAATTATAGTGTGTCATCACAGCCATGTCCACGCAGATGATTCTCAAGGGGACAGCATAGAAAATAGCTGTAAAGGAACAGCAATATGACAAAAATGTTACACGCATTCACCAGGCTTGTAAAATGAGACCATGAATTAGGCCGCCGCATCAACAAAGAGAGATTAGACGACGCGCGGTATGTATTTCTGCAGCTTTATATATAAATAGATCTATGCAGCCATCCAGACATGTATATATATATGTGTGTTTGTTTGTGTTCCTGTGCATCTCTAACAGCCTCAGCTGACAAATAGCATCACATTTCTACACAGTCGAAACCCTTAAGACTCTTGGCTGAGGCTTATTAGCATGTAGTATGTTGGGGAAAAGCTCGTGAGCAGCCTCACCTGATGGGGCCCCTCAACTCTGCATAAGCAATGTTCCTCCGCCGACCACTTCAGCACAAACTCAATCAGCTCCTGATGCTCAACACTAACCCAGTCACCTTGTGCTAATGCCATGCCACTTTTGCTTAAGATAATAAATGAGAAATGTCCACGGCTGACCTGAAGACACCGACAATCCCTCCTCGGCAGGCGGAGGAGAGACGGGGGGTAAAAAAGGGGGGAGGTTCGCGGGGAGGGGAAGCGAGGCGACGGGGGGAAAATGAGTTGCGGGTTGTTTGGAGGGGAATGGCACAGGATGAGGAAAGGAGATGAAGGGAGCGTGAGAAAAGAGGAAAAGCCAGAAGAAAAAAGGATTCCCGTGTCGGGGTGTGAGGAGGATATGGCATCCGCACTGTGGGTGCAGCTGCTGGAGGGAAACACTTAAAGGCTCCTGAGTAAGTGAATCGAAATGAGCTCCAAAGATCTCCACGCACTGAGACATTATCACCAGTGACAGCGTTATTCCACTCTATTGATCTGTTCTTACAATAAACTGATGGCATTTGAATATGCCAATAAGTTGATCTCGGCGAAAGCCTGAATGATTTGCTTTCGTCTCTGCAGAAGCTCTGATCCCGGCGGCCACAAAACAGGGTTCCTACTCATTTAAATTCTCTTTGTTCCTGCACATAAACTTTTAAAATGTATGTTTTATCAGCCATTTAATCTGCACCAAGAGGAAACACTGTTCTGCGCTTTGTGCTGACGTGTCTGTCTTTCTGCTCCTTCCTTTATAGGTTTAGCCCTTACGAGTGGTACAACCCGCATCCATGCAACCCAGACTCGGACGTGGTGGAAAACAATTTTACCCTGCTCAATAGTTTCTGGTTTGGAGTTGGGGCTCTCATGCAGCAAGGTAGTTGCCTCAGCCTGTGGAGCTCTCTATATCCCACTGCCCCTGAGGGTTGGGGTTTTTAACCAGGCCAGCGGCAATTGAGAGAGAGACCTCTGGAGACGTAGACAGAACTTAGAGTAAATGTGCATGATTTTTTCAAAAACATTAACTCACCTCACAGGAGCACAGAGTAGCCGAGATGATTATATAAGGCAGACAGATTCACAACCCTTATTCCACTCGAGTAAAATCAAATTAACTTTGTTTTGAAAACCTTCCACAAGAGTTTCTGCCAAAACAAAGCAAACAAGGGATGAGTAAAGCGCTCTAGAAACAACCCGTAAACATGCTGTTCATCACAGTTCTGATAGCACTGCTATTACCCAGAGTCCTCCTCTCTTGCCCTTGGCCCATCAGCACCTTGAGATCAGTGGGGTGTGGAGTCAGGATGTGAGGTTACCTTGGGTACATGACTCTCTGGCCCAAACAGCCCGTCACTTCCCCACACTGTCCTGAGTGATCAATATTGAATGTGTTTTATTTGATATGATTGATTTATGCAAACACCCGGTTCCCAGCAGACATTTTTAAAGAGCGCCTCGCCGGTGTCTCCTGCATTATTTAAAGCCCTCAATAGCGAGAGAGACAAGATAATTTCACTCGTTTGAAATCCAACAATCATCTTGTTTCGAGAGCCCTCTCAGGCGATTCAATCTTCAGGCGAGTGGCGCATCTGCCTCAGCTAAAAACTTGAAGAGTTCTTGAAACAAGTTTTTTCAAAGGAGCTAGTCCCGTCCTGTTTTTCCATGTTAAGAATACACTTAATGATAAGATTAGAATAATGAAGAAAGGCTTGTGCGGATGAATGCATTTTGCGGTTGTAACGCTCCCTCCTGCCGCCTCCCTCACCCCAGGCTCAGAGCTCATGCCCAAGGCCCTGTCGACTCGAATAGTGGGAGGCATCTGGTGGTTCTTCACCCTCATCATCATTTCCTCATACACGGCCAACTTGGCTGCCTTCCTCACTGTGGAGAGGATGGAGTCGCCCATAGACTCGGCAGACGACCTCGCCAAGCAGACTAAGATCCTGTATGGGGTGGTGGAGGACGGTGCCACCATGACGTTCTTTAAGGTAGCCGCTTCTTTCATGGTTTTGTAAGAAATCTGTCACTTTTTTAAAGTTATAATCCTCAACATGATTGGTTTCGGGCTGCAAGGTGGTTCGGTGGTTAGCACTGTTGCCTCGCAGATAGAAGGTCGCCGGTTCGCATCCCGGTGAGGACACCCAGGATCTTTCTGCATGGAGTCTCCATGTTCTCCCCATGCAACGTGGGTTCTCTCCGAGTTCTCCGGCTTCCTCCCACAGTCCAGAAACATGCTGAGGTTAATTGGTGATTGTAAATTGTCTGTAGGTGTGAATGTGAGTGTGCTTGGTTGTCTGTCTCTAAGGCCCCGTCTACACATAGGATAAAAACGGTGATATTTCAGTGGGTCTTGGGTTTACACGTAAACGAGGCTACACGTCACTGAAAACCCTCACATCTGAAAACTCCGGCCAAAGTGGACATTTGAAAAAACTCTTTCTTTTTGTTTGCATGTAGACGGGAGGAGACGGAGTTTGACGTTCACAGTGTGCGACAAAAGCATCATCAGCGTCACATGTGTGCGACATGTTTACAGGCTGTGGTAGTAATGGATGCTGTTAAAGCAGCGCTGGTTTTTACGTTTGTTTCATGTTTCCCAGTTAATATTTTTTTTTCCAGTATTTCACTTGTTTTGTCTCTAACACCACATTTAGGAGAAGCTCCATGTCTCTGTCGGTCCAAACAAATGACCCTTACAGCGTTATCGTTTAAGTAACAGGAAGTAATTTTTGCCATTCGTTGTTGTGTTTCTTCCAGGATTCTGATTGGCTAGCATGGCTTTATGCTTGTCGTTACACTGCCCCCTACAGGTCTGGCAGCTCATAGCAGCTCTTAACAAAATGTTTATGCGCATTTGTGTAAATGAAGATTTTTTTGAAAACTATCTGGTGTGAACAATGTTATTTTTGAAAACACAGCCCTGTGATAGACTGGCTACCTGTCCAGGTGAACCACCCTGAGTCAGCTGGGATAGACTCCAGCCCCGTGTGAGGATTAAGCGGTGTATAGATAATGGATGGATGGATGGATGATTGGTTCCACATGGTTATTTTTATGGACGCCAACACGCTACTGATGAATCGCAGTCATACCAACTCATGTCAGGGAACATTAACTGCAACTACAGTCGTCATGCTAAGCAACGTAAGAGTAGTTTGTCAAGTCTGACTCCCTCTTAAAGAGTTAAAGTAGGTCCAAAGTCTTTATAAGCGAGTTTAGCCACTCTGCAACCATCTCGGTAACGTCTGCAGGCAGTTACTTCAGGATAACGAGACCTGACTCATCTAAATGAATGGAGGGAGAAAAATAACTGCAATTTTAATGATCACGGAGACATAAAAACTGCATGAAGTTATCAGCAGTTGAATCAGATAAAAGAAGCGCTTAAATGTTTACCCCGAAATAAGGCTTGAGTCAGTTTTTTTTTAGGAGGAGCTGCATTACTTACAGATTTCTGCCTTACATATATATATATCTCTATTTAGCATTCTTTAAGCAGCAGGTCGCTTCCTAATAACGTCTCTGGTTGCACCGTCGCTCTCCTGCAGCTCCTCGTTTAGCAGCTCTTTTGGACTTCTAGCTACGTTCCTAACGGCGATGCTTATAACCAAGCCGCTGCCAAACGCAGACAGTAGGTGTTGTTTTGTGGATGTATTTTTGATTTCCATTCGCGCTAACCGTAGTGACAAAATACATCCCAAATCTTGCGACTATTTCACAGAAAAGAAAGTGTTTCGCCAGTTAAATGCCTTTTAGGTGTGAAATGTTCGGTAACAATAAATTAAACATAAAGCGCTGAATCACATGCATGCATCACCTCCTCGTGCAAATGCAGGCGACTGGAGTTTAAAGACAGAATCCAACAGTGGAAACAACTCTACGAAGATTATAGAATGTAAATACAGTGAAAGGCTATTATTGAAATTGGGTCGAGAATTGTTTAAAAACAGCACCTAATAAAAAATGTATTATTTATGGCTCATGAACATCTTAAGGATTATTACTGTCAGTTCTTGCTTTTTCGTAGAAATAATAATACATGCTGCAATTCCTTCTTTTTTCCTAATGAATAAGTAATTTCGTGAAACCATAATTACTCGGAACACAATGAAACTAGACGCCGGTTGCCATTCCTGCTGTCATTCGAATCTTGTTCTCTGGTTCCTTGCAGAAGACCAAAATCTCCACCTATGACAAGATGTGGGAGTTTATGAACAGCAGGAGGCAATCTGTGATGGTCAAGAACGTGGAGGAAGGCATCCAACGCGTCCTGACCTCGGACTACGCTTTCCTCATGGAGTCCACCACCATCGAGTTTGTCACCCAGCGCAACTGCAACCTCACGCAGATTGGAGGCCTCATAGACTCCAAAGCCTACGGAGTGGGAACGCCGATGGGTAAATTACCTCGAACCTCTGTGTGCCTTTGTGCCGCCTGCCGCGTTCTAAAGCATTTAAATGTTTAAGTCGGCGAGATGCTGCAGATACAATGTGACAGGTAAAGGTATAGTGTATAGTGCGGATGATGGATAAGCTCTGAGAACAGAAGGATTGACCTTTATTGATGGGGTCACGGGTATAATGGTTAGACAGAGTGAGGTGTAAAAGGTTTCGCTTAATGAAAAGTGAATGGCTGAAAAGGTTGAATTTATGGATAAGGTTAAAATGTGCCTGCAGCTCACCGCCTCAGCAAGTGTGAAGTCTTTTTTTTTTTTTTACCCCGAAGCCGTAATGATTCTCTCACAGGATTTGAGAATCAAACCTGGGTCAATCACTGTTCACAAATACTTTTAATGGTGCGTTTTATTTCTACTTTGCGCTCATGGGTGTGAGTGCAAGACAGTGAAGCACGAGCAAGCAGCCTGAAAGTCAAATCAGCGCGACTCCCTTTGACTTACCATCTGACTTGTGTCATTAAACCGCGAGCAAAAAGCGCCTCGGAGAGTATAAAACGAGCATTCGGAGCTGTTTTCGGTTGCTTATTTGACCCGGGTCCTGTCAAAAATTTAGTATTCTGGTATTTTAAAGCACCATTATGCCGGAACGAAGCAGAGGAACTAAAGCTATTAAAATATGTATTATGATAACAGGTTTGCCGCATATTAAGCAGTCATCTCACGGCCCCGTTGCATTCTGTGGGTTAAAGCTGTCGACGGCTTCGACTCCAGTGTTGCGGAGGTTAGAGTGGTCGTGACGAGGCCACGGAGAACACTGCAGCCAGCTGTAATTGTCACATCCATCATCGGTGATATGAAGGCCATCAAAATACGGAGGATTAATTCCGGCCATCCACATCTGGACCTGGCTACTGCTGATGAGTATGGGCCAGTTATGAATCTGCAGGGATGCCGTGATTGCCGCGGCTATAACAAAGCTGAGGTGATGCCGTGAAATATAGTCCCACTGTGGCTCCGTAAGTGCAGAAGTACTTACACTGATGCCCTTGAAATGGACACATAAAAACCCAGAACGTGGCACGGCCCTTTTTTTCCGTTCATGTAGCGACGAGGTGTATCAAATACATGACAAAATATATATCACATCGTTTTAATTCGCCGATAAGTAGCTCAGTATTTAAATGGCGAACAATTAATGTCCATTTTCAAAGTTATTACTGCGCACTAACTCATTTCTGTCTCTAATCCTGGTATTCATTGCTCAATATTTTAGAAATAAAGCTGATTACAGGCCGCAAAATGTTTCCTCTGTGATAGAAGCGATCTTGAGCACGTTAATTACTTCACAGCCAGTTCTGTTTTCATGCCAGCAGTCATTGTGGAAGTATATCTTATTTTCCAAGACGGTTTCTTTCTCCTTGTGTCACGTCGACCTTTCAGCCTGTAACTTTTGGCCTGCTGAACGCTGTTTAGCACCTCGTTCCCTATAGGGCTTTTTACGGCAGTAAAAGCAGAGCAAGCTATGCAATAAGTCTTAACCTTTTAGTGCTTGTCGGTTTTCGCACATCCTTCTCCCAAAACGCAAATGCGTCATCCGCCGCTATCAGCTTAAACTGTGATCACATTAATACTTGACGCCAGACAGTGGAGGAGTGATGGATGTTCTCTGGTGTTGAACATCTGTCAGGTAGTTGTGTATGCGCAGTGTGTCAAGCACAACGCTTTGCCATTCGCCCAGGCCTCGCTCTCCATATCCTCCTCTCTGAGGACCCATCCTATTAGCATTTATCCAAGGCCTGCTTTGTTAGGCCATCATTAATCATTTGAAATATGAGAGGAGCCCGAATCAGGGGACCCAGATACTTGATAGATCTCTCATCTTCAAATGAAGCAGGCATATGCTTCTCACATGCACGGCCTCATGCACATACAAGACTGTGAATTAAGAGCAATATATATCTACTGTACATGCACAGAATGTATAAATGTAGGATGAAGGCAGCCTTAGGTTTTAATCCCAGTGTGCTCATCAGCGCAGCACAGGTACGCTGGAAAAAGATAAATAAATAAAAAAAACACCAAACTATTTATGAAGTAAGAGAAAACACAGACAAGCAGCTCAAAAACCGGTGGCACTGCGCGTAATTTTCAGTTTTGTATTAATGCCCCCTTTGTCAGTGTAAATACATAGAGACTTGGAGATGAAAGGATGATGGATGGCAATAGATGAATGATAAATGAGACGGAGGGAGAATCAACTAAAGGGGCTGACAGGCAGAACTGTATGAGAGCAACAGACAAAGTGATGCTACCAGCTACCTGGGGCCAGATTCAGTTCATTTCCCCTGGAGTTTCAGCACAAAATGTTCATGTGTTTGTCAAATTATTTTTTTATTATGCTGGCGTTATAAAAAATTCACATTTGTTTCATCCCTTCTGAGTCACTTTGAATACACACACGAGCTAAGTGTCTGAAATGGAAATGTTCAACCAGGCTTCATTATGTATGAGTCCCGTAATCACATAAATACACTAACAAGCTTTTAAAGCAGCAAAAAAAACATGAAACATGAACGCTCACAGTAAGTATTAATCTTTCTTGGCCCGGTTCAGGCGTGTGCGCTGCGCCTCGGTCGGCCGTGCGCTGCGTCGTGTGGATGGGAGACGAACAAGACCCCACTCGGCTACTCTGCAACGATTACTCCCACTTTGATCACACCAGCATCCGCCGCGCCTTAATTCCTCGTCGCTAATTCTGGCGCCTTCCCACTTTCTGTAGATTTGGGTTCTTTTTGCTCGACATGACACCGACATGCATAAAAACACAGCGATGGAGAGAGACCTCTATCTCCAGCACACATTAGTAATCCCACATATGCACCCATGTAATGTGCACCCCACTGGGTTCTGCTTTTTATAGGCACCATTTATGTCAAATGAAAGCGTGTGCAAACAGCAGCTAATTTGTCAGATTCAACAGCAGCTCCGCCGCACAAAGCCAACGCGTTGTTGCCAACTCCCTGTGCATTATAATTCACACACTGCAGAGAGGAGTGAGAATTTTGGAATCAGCCTGTGAATATAGGGATTAGTGGGATTTGAAGAAGGACTTACAAAAAAACTCTGTCTAAGCAGCCAACAATAACATGACAGGTTATATGATCACATGCGAGCCTGAATGTGCTTTATACACCCACCGACACAACAATGGCTACGCTCGGCACAATCAGGGTTTGGTTTTTTTTCTTTCCGTATCTGGCTATTATCCATGCTCACCGGTTTTCATGTTGTGTTTTTGTATCCGCAGGCTCTCCCTACAGAGACAAGATCACGATAGCCATTCTGCAGCTGCAAGAGGAAGGGAAGCTGCACATGATGAAGGAGAAGTGGTGGAGAGGCAACGGCTGTCCCGAGGAGGAGAGCAAAGAGGCCAGCGCTCTGGGAGTGCAGAACATCGGCGGGATCTTCATCGTGCTGGCTGCCGGACTGGTGCTGTCAGTGTTTGTGGCTGTGGGGGAGGTCCTGTACAAGTCTAAACAGAATGCACAGCTGGAAAAGGTACAGCAGGCTTCTTCTGACGCATACCGAGAATTAAAACATCTGCCATAATGTCTTTGTCTCAGAGGCTGTTGTTTCTCGCCACAGTTTCCTCATTTCACTCGAGCTCAGTTTCATTTCACTTTTGACATCTCTCACTCATATCTCATTGCATCGCTTTATTTTATTTATTTTTTTAAAGGAAATTAAAATGTAAATGCAATGGAGGATATTAAACCACACAAAAAAAATCAAATCAAAAACCTACGTACTGTATAGCGGGGATGCTTGCCTTTCTGTGCCTGGGAGTTGCAAAATGACAGGAGGTCAGATAATCAGATAAAATGAATAAACATTAATAAGATCAGGCCTCATGTTTCTCGAAATTATTCATGCTCATGCACAAGACAGCGGGAGAGGAAAAGGGGAAGGGAAGCTGTTTGCCAGCAGCAGCCTACGTGGCTATAAAGTGAAGAAAGATAAAAAAACGCAGTTCCTCAATTGGCCACTTGAGGCTGGATTCAAAAAGTGAGTAAATCCCCATAGACCCCTATGTTAGCATGTCCAACTTTAAAGTGAAATTAAACATCTTTACAGCGTGGCACTCCAAACAGTTTTGGTCTTTATAGCTGATATACAAATAGTTGTCGACTTTACACGTTTATGACTCACCTGGTTCCATTTTATGAAGTGATGCTTTGAGCGGCAGGAGTCACAGGACAGTCCTTGGACCAGAGATGTTTGCATTGGCCCACTACAGCTCCACTCACGCTCCACCTCTTTTCTCATTTCTGGATTCGCTGGGAGTTAGGAGGAGTCAGGCACTGCAAAGATGGCGGCGGCTGGAATCACCACACTGAGCTTCAAAACTGCTGTTCAGGAAACCTATTGCTGACATCGCTTGAGGGTTTGTCAATCTTCATATACAGTCACTTACCGAGAGAGATGTTACAGCTGGCACCAGCTCCAGTTTCGAAAAGATTGGTTCACATGTTTCCAAGTCTGTCCAACACGCCCCTTATGTACATCCAAAGAGTTATTGGTCACTGTAATTGTTCCCAGTGTGGCAGTGAAGAGATGCCAGTGTAAGAGGTTTGAAATCCAATAACGCTTTCCAGTTTAGCTGAAGCCAATACGAGCGTTTCGCAGCCTGGTTTAGCTAATTCCAGTGAGCAATTTACAAAGTTAATTTTCCTATTTTCTACAGACAGTGTTTCAATGCTGAGCTGCAGGGAAGGGATATTAAACAGAGAGTTGATACCAGCATTTGTGCAAAAAAAAAAAAAAGGGACCGTTGTCCAATTTTAAAATCACATCAGAATCCGATTTTTTCCGGGCCAGTACGAACAGACGGAACAATTACAGCAACTCCTTCACTCATTGTAAATATGGATATCAGTATGCTAAGTATTAATCACATGTTAACCTATTTTTTAATCTTGCAATATCTCTTTAAAGTAGAAAAATTGCAGCTTCTTTCTTCCTCCCCTCTGGTTATGTTCCTCTCTAGAAAGAGACTGAATATATTTCCGACTGCTCTGTGCTCTATTTTAGTACCGAGTGCACATGATTCATCACACCGCGTGCAGTCTGTCTTTTAGTGCACTTTAACTTGTGCAATGATGTGTCCGGATAATTGTGAAAGTCCATTTGATAGCGTCTTTTAATTATTTACATCCACAAAATTAGCACAGCGCAGCACCGTGTTACTTTACTGCAATAGTAATTAGTTTCTGGCTCTTTTTTTTTTTTTTACAGGCTGCATATGTTTCACAGCACATCTCAGCTATCATTAATCAAGAGCTGCAAGACTGGGTCACAATATTCAGATAATTTGCAAATGCCACAATCTCCAGGCTGCCAAGGTGCTAGTAATTTGCATGCCGACAACAAGCCTCTCCTTTTACTCCCTGCCAGCCTCCTCCACCCTAACATCAGCGGCTTTATACCCTCCTCCTCCTCATTGTTTTTCACATTTTCTTTTCTATCACCCTTCTTGCTTCTCTCGTCTTCCTTAATCACTCCTCTTTCAGAGTATAGAAATACCTCATTCATACACCAGACAAATATGTAAAAATGGAGGAAAAAAAAGCCACAAAAATATCTGGTGCATAAGCCACCTACAGATATCCATCTCCCACACCTACGCGTATCCACAAACAGAAAAATAATAGCTTCATACTTTAATGCTCTCCCTCCTCTTTTATATCGGCTCCCCTCCTACACCCTTTGAATTTGAATTACATTTTGCATAATCAGAAAAGAAATGTATGGGAATTCGACTTGGCAAAGTTGGTGCACAAGCGCGCGGACACATTATGGGATTTTACACCACAAACATGAAGCGGGGACAATGGAGGCTCCTAAGTTACGTAACGGCGATGCTTCAAACGGGGCACCAACATTTTTGGATTTAATCTGCTCAAGTGGATATATTGTCTTTTATGCGCTATCATTACATTTTTCACTTTCATGCCAACAAAATTACAAGTGTTGTAACGTTTCTCTCAGGATTTAGTTCTTGGCACGGCACAAAAGACTATGAAATTGCATTCAGACCTTTGTGTGACGGTGAAGCTGAAAGAGGGGAAATCTGGGACACATCAGACCTTTAAATGAATGCCTGATTTTACTAAATATTTTAGGAATTAAATGAATGGATCCGCCTTTATCGTTCAAGTGTAATACTTTATTAGGTGCTATTTGGGGTGTTTCCAGTGAAGTGTTGCTTTGATACTCGTGTCGTCTACGTTTACTTTCAGTGTTATTTTTCTAATCTTGTTTCATCCACGATAATCCTCGACTATCAGCTAAAGATTACAGTGAAAGCATTGTGCAAAAGGACAAGCCTTGCATAGGAAAATCCGATTTCGTCCACCACTCAGGCTTTAAAAACAGTTGCTAATGTGGTAATGGAAGAGCTCTCCAATGTTCGAGAAGATGCTTTTTTTACGGTTTGACCCATACCGGGTGTAAAAGTCAGGCCAGCTCAGCCTCTGCTTCTTTGATTTTACCATCCTTTTGATGCGTCTGTCAATCCCGTGTCCCCTCTCAGCGCAAAGTGCACTCCTAAATCACCAGAGCACACACTAAATACTCCAGTTTACAGTTAGAGGCAACAGTGTAGGAGCAGCTGAGTGTAAACATTATATAAATTCACTCAAGACTTGATGTTTTACTATGTATAGATTAAGTAATGCAATAAAATATTAACAACACCGAACAAGTTGGCCTTTATTTTACCAAGATGCTCCCCGGAGATCTATGTTTTCCTGATGGAAATGGCAGCAGAATAATGATGTTGTATGATTAGGTTATGTTATGAAACCAACACTGAGCTAATAAAGAGAAGAAGCAGGATGAGGAGGAGAAAAAATAATAAATAATAATAATAATAATCACAACGGTTACAATAGGGTCCTTGCACTAGTGTGCTCGGACCCGAAAAAGTCATACTATAGCATGTCGTTTTTGTCAAAAAAGGTCATGATTCAGAATGTCGTCAAAACGTGTCAGGATGAAGTATATAGTGGAAATAGTGCGATGCATGTCGTAGAAATCACCTCAGGAAA